TTGTCTTCTGAATCCAGTGTGCAGACTTTACACATATCTGCAATATCTTTTATTCTTCCTAAAGTTACTTCTTCTTATCGTTTTTTAATATTTGAGTATCAGAAGGTTGTAGCAGTGAAGATTACTCAGTGTTAAGAACCGTTAAAAAGTTTGTTTTACTTTTTGATTTTGCTTAGGATGTTTCAGCAAGAAGAGTAGTTTAGGTAAAATAAGAGTAACAAAGTTGTTGGCTTATATCCACTTAGCAGTATTGAGTTGTAATAATATGAACAATTAAAAAAAAATTATAGCGTAGCATTACTAAGTGAAAATAGTATAGAGGTAGAGTGGGGCTAATGCTTTAGGGTCATCTGTCTGCAAGGGTTTTAGTCTTTTATTTGTTTAAACATGATTTTACCAAGTTTTAAATAAATTCCACTGATTTATTTTTCATTACGCCCTTTAACCTAAAATGTGGTGTTATATTTTTAGATAGTCCTGAATAACACAACTACACAGCTAATGATGCCCAAACTTCAAATTATAAGCAAGTTTCTTAGTTTAGAATGAATAACAGGTAGTTTGAGTGACACTGCAAAAGCAGTAAAGATCAAAATAGAAATTCTAAATGTTCATTCATGGACTCAAGGTATTAATATGAAACATAAAACGTCCCTGTGCATTTCCACTTTCCCATCCGTGGTTAGTGACTCCAAGCTGTGCCAACCCTTTGCAGTTACCAAGAGGTTTATAGTTTTATTTTACATTGAATTTAAGAAAAACAATGCTTTGCATGTATTGCACTAGTCTTACAGTGATTTTAAAATACGTTCTCAGATTTTTAGGGCACCCATACGTGTTTTCAGTTCAGTTGCGGTTTTCCTATTTTCTTATTTTGGTCTATAAACTTTGCAAAATCGATTTTGGGTTTTTTTTAACACACTGTCAATGAATTCTTCAAAAGAACAATTTAAATCTGAAAACAAGCTTTGGGGTTTTTTATTATATTTAGTAAAAATGTAAGCAATATGGTGGTGTTGTTTATTAAACTGAGCTGCTTGGATAAGATCTCTGTATTTGCTTTTTATGCAGTCTGAAAGATGAGTTGAAAAGGATTTCTGAAAACTTGGTTTGTTTCCTTTCAAAATTCTACTGTCTGCCATACACAATTCTCAAAGTTTGCTAGATTTTACAGTAAATATGACAAGAATGTAAATTAATTCTCTGTTTCCATAAAAAGGTGCCTTGGGAGTAGAAAAAGCTCATGGATTTTCATTGGGAACTCTCCTGTGGTATAATTAATGTTCTTTTTTTAAACAGGAACAGAACAAGTGAAAATGCTTTAAAGTCATCCATATTTATATATTGTGTCCAGAGTGTTTCTAGTAGAACTGAGAAAATAATCAAGTGTTCTCCACATATACTATACCCTCAATTCCCTCAGATGCTTTCTGACCTCTTTTACAAAAAAACTTAATGCTAAGTTTTTGCCATTATCTTAACACTAAAGTTCTTGCCATCTTTTATGCACCTCCCCTTCTCATATTTTATTTTTTCTGGTAACTCAAAAAGCATTAATTGTAACAGCGTAACCATTTTAATGCAAATTATCCTGATGAAAGTTTCATCTGACAGTATCTCTGGCATATTTTCTCTTTCCTACAGTAAATATCCACAGCAGCCTTTGCCATACCTATATTAGCCAGGCTTGTTACTTCTATGTTTTCCAAAAATCCCCTGGAGTTTTTTGGCATAGAGTGTTAGCACACATCCAAAGCCAATGACTTTGAGACAGTCATATAAACCAGCTCTGTGGCATTTAAAATTCCTGAACTTTTGTTGTCCTCAGGAACAAAAAGCAAATTTAATATCTACTTCCTAATTATCACTGGAAAGTAGAGTAAATGCAAGAGCCAGGATGCTCTTGCATATATCAGATTTATGACAAAGCTGATCTGAATTATAACACAAGTACAGAAGTCTCCTAAACAAAACCTCCAGCACTGCAATGAGAAGCTGATCTATACTTTTCCATAAGAGGCCCCTAGAGCACTCCGTTTATGTCAGAGGTCTTGTTAACAGCTCACCATAGGACAGGGGTGCTTTCAGGAATTAAATGAGTATCCAAGAATCCCAACCAGGAGTTTGTGTTGAACAACCAATATCTCTACAGCTCAGCTGCTGGAGATCCTACTAAATAGTTAGCTGGGATGTGACAGTGCTGAAGAGGAGACCATATCACAAGTTTGTATAGCATTTCATTATTTCTGTAGCTAATATCTTATTCAGTCACTGACTACATGGAATTCTTGGAGCAGAGAACTTGAGTTATATTTGTCCTTAGGCAGATTTATTTTTCTTTGTGGCATTTTTAAGAGAAAACTAATCAAGTAATCTAAGATGCTTTAAAACACCTTTCTCCCTGCCCCCACCCCACAGACAAGTGTTTTCCCACCTTGGTATGTGGAGCTTGTACCTTCTTGTCCTTTTCTGTGCCTTTGCAGTATGGTCCAACAGCAGGAAAAATGTTAAACACGCTAAAATGAAGAAGCAATTATTCAAAAGTCACTAGGTGTGGTTGTGGGTAACATTTAGGTTGCTGTCCCAACTTCCTTAGAACCTGAGTGGCTTTAACAACCTAAAGTTACTAGGGCAATTGTATAGCTCCAGTAATTTCTTTGAGAAGTATTATGTTTAGCGAAGAAATTTGTGTCTTAAATGCATAGGCTGACACACTTCCTGCTGCCTGTGGAGTGCACAGGGTTTTAGGAACTTGCTCTTACTAATTGTCTTAAAGGACAAGTTTCTCTGTATTCATGTCACGTTTTAGAGGGATGAAACAGCTAGTTTCATATTTATTTGGATCTCCAACCATAACTGTTGTGCACTTTATATGTCCTGATAAAGATTTGTTTGCACTGTTGAGCCAAGTAACTAAAGTATAACAATTGAGCAGCTGCACCCATCACCCCTTTAAAAATATTTGTTTCTTTAAAATGAATTTACAAAGTGTATGCTGTATTAATCTGTTACTTGATTCTTGTGCCTTTCCTACATCTTGCTGTAACCTTTATAATAGCTCCCTCATGCCAGTGCTTCTGGATAGCAGTGTAATACTCAATGTATCAACGCTTCAAAAAGTCTCTCCTTTGTTCATTTAAATAAACAAAGCACTTACTTGTGAAACACAGTAAGGTCATTAGGAAAATTTAAACCTTGTTTCAAAAAACATGTTTTCTTTTATCCTCTCAAACATAAGCGCTGTCATATCTTAGCCTTATCTATCAAGTTATTGTGCTTCTCCACATTTTAAAGTGGAGAAACAAACAGTAAGCAGTTACGTAGAGTATCAGCTAGAACCATACTATCTGCTTACAAGGTTCAAAAACCTTTTCAGGGTCTGCTGTAGATGTTTAGATGACATTCCGTTTGACCTGCCAGGTCATGCATGATGGAGAAAAAAGCCTTTAATGACTTTCAAGTCCATCTGAGAATATAGGAATAAAAGGTGGCATGGAAAGTCTTGTAATAGCACCTGAACCTTCTCTTCCATAAAGCATTTGGTGACATTCTATTTTTAAGTTTTACATGGTGCATGTAACTCGGTGAGCAAAGACCTTGAAACTCATTTACTAATCACTGCAGTGTCATGTGCTGCCCGATGAACATTGGACACAGTGGTGACCCACACTCAGAAGAATGGAACCATTTCCTCCCCCAGAGTTCTGCAGCCACTGTGCTGGGTCAGAGGTGTTTGGACAGTGCTGGAATGCAAAATCTAGAAACAGTGCTCTGAGAAGTGCTACTGTAAATACACTATAAGGAATGGAATAAATCAGAAATGCTTGTTCAGCTTCTCAGTCCTGTGCTGAAGAATGATCTCTTCCCAAGGCTGCTGGAATGCAGTGTCCTGTTAATAACATAGATGACTGCAAATTATGGTTTCTCCCATGCTGTATGGTGGTAATTTGCAAAGCTTGTTTGAACCAGGTATTTTTCAGTAGGGTACTGGTGAACAATAGAAGTCTGACTCAAGAGCCTCCAGATTCCCATAGGTGGATGCCTTTTGCTGAGTCTGCTGGTTGGATATTGAGAAAATCTACTTAGGGCAGATGCTTAGTGATGTGTATGATTAGTGAGAGGGGAAAACAGTTCTCCCTAGAGAATGTTATCCCTCAGGAAAGAACTTTAAGTGGCAGTAGGCAAGGAATGCAGTTGCCATGTTCCAAGTTTGTTGTTACAATTTCTATAAATCAGTTAAGTAGTTGGCATATGATGGAGTGCCATCTGAACACTTGAGTTTTGCTGAGTGTTTTCACTACTTCTTGTTTTGAGAAGCAATTGCATTTGGATTTCAAAAGTAAGTAAGAATCTCTGCTTCTTGTAAAACTAGAGATACCACAAGCAATTGCTGCTTCCAGTGAAGTCTTACAGAAAACTGAGTCATGAAGAGCCAGTACTTGAAGCTGATTTACTGCTCCATGAGCAGCAGCAGCACTTCTTCACTCCCATTGAGTTCATAATTCAACAGGACAGAGTAACTGCTTCCTTATATGGAGACACGAGTTCCTTTTCCCCATTGCTGCAGTACCTCCTGTTAGTAGGAGTTCAACAAAAGTGTGTGTCTGTGTGTCACAAGTAATGCAGAGGTTCCCAGGGAGTTTGAAACCTGGGAATTCCTCTTCTCCCCACATCAAACATTGTCATTCTAGTTATAGCTATTAATTCAAGTACAACAGTAGAATAAAAATACCTAGCAAACATACAGGCAGGACTGTTCCAACAGATCCATGTGGATTATGAAACTTTCCTCTCTTGGAAGAGAACAGTAATTCAAAGTCGAGGAAATTCTAAAATTACACAGACAAAATCTCCCATTAGCATGTCAGTATTCAAAAGGGAATTTACACCAATAAATTCTTCAGTTGCAAGGTTTCAGTCAGGCTGAACAGAAATAAATCTTTATAGGATAAATTTGTTCTTGTTGCTATTTCTCTAAATATTCCCTTTTTTCACTTTAGCAGGGGCCTCAATGTGTTCAAGACATCTATCTGAAAGGTGGGGAGCTAGTGAAAGAGTTGCAACGTTTTGAAGATACACACCTTACCATATCTAGAAAGTAATAAAGGGTATGTATGGTTTCACTTTTTTTTTCTTTTTTTACTTCTTTCTCTGTTAGGAAGTATTGATCATTTTCTGCAGCCTAGAAAAATTCACTGCTAAAGCACCTGGCTTATATCTAAGGTGAAGGGAAAGTAGATACAAAGTTTCAATTAAATTTGAATGATTTCTAGTTTGGATAAAGAATTGCTGTGGCAATTAAAAATGGAAAAGCATTAGTAATGTACAAAACTTGTAAAGTAACTAACTTAAGTGGCATTTGTTACATCAATTAGCATAGCCTTTTTTTTTTTTTTTTTTTTTGAGGGAAGGAATGTTAGTTCTGTAACTTGCAACCATTGAACAAAGGAAAATAAAGAGTATTTGACAATTTCAAAGCATGCATTTTGGGGGGTAAAAATATTTCTTGATGTCTATGCATGCAAAACTAAATTCCTTTCTCTTTTGTGGGGGAGCTCTCAATAGTTATTTCAAACTTTCAGGAGTAACGGGTAAGTATTCAAAATCATAAAGTTAACTGGGTTATTCCACAGTTTTAAAATATTCTTTGCACTGTAATATTTGGAAAATTGCAATTCAGTTTTGCTCATGTTAATATATGACATTCAACAGTACCTTCCCCCTTCCTGACAGGTGTTACTGGCAGGCTGTTACAGTTACATTTGTTAATATTTAGGCTATTGCTTGATTATTAATAATTATTTCTATTGTTTTTTTTTAAATTTTATTAACTTCTACTGAAAATAGTATCAAACATGAAAAATTTTACCAAAACTAAGAATGCACTGACAGCAAAAATAACTTTTAATTAAAAGCACTTAACTTTTAATTGAAGCACTTACTTCAGTGAATTTGTAATGCATTTATGTAGGCTCAAAGTATCACGCAAGTTATCAGATGCTACTGCAAGTGAAGTTTAAGGGCAACTTTTCAATGGCTGTGCCAGATCATGTAGATAAAAGCAGTAGATAGTACTAAACTCCTAAAAATATTTTTGGGAGTAGAGTGATCATTTTAGCAGTGAGGAGCAGAGTATGTTAAGTGAAGGGGCTATTTTAGTTCAGAATGCTGAAGAAATTAGAAAATTATTTCCTTAATTCTGGAAGGTAACCATTTCTGCAAAGAATGCAAGGAAAACCTGTTTAAAGTAGAATAGAAAGACATGTAAAATTTGAGAATTGTAAGTGGCATTGGAGCAAGTAGAAATCACACCATGTAGTTTGTTTACTCTTGTTTCTTCTTTATAGAAACTTCATCCATACTTCATCAAAATGCAGCGGAGTCTGTTACATTCTGCATCTCAGCTGGCGCATGGGACGTGTTGGTTCTTCCCTCGCACTGGTGTCTTTCAGTGCTTGAAAGGACAGTCTGTGTTGTCTAATGTGGGATGCAAAGTCATTCTGGCACTGGACCCTCCCAAACAATGTCTTCATGCAGGTGCAGCTCACTTTGCCTCAAAGAAAACTGCTTTTTCATCCCATCCAGTAGACACTTCTCACAAGATTCCTGAAGAAAGAAATCCTTTGCCTTCGGCCACTGATGCACCCAAACAGAGCCCTGCAGAGTCAGATTCTTCAGAACCTGATCCATTACAAGATAAATCAATGAGTCTTGTTCAGAGATTCAAGAAAACTTTTAAGCAGTATGGGAAAGTCATGATTCCAGTGCACCTTGTGACTTCCACTGTGTGGTTTGGATCCTTTTACTATGCAGCCATGAAGTAAGTTGGTATTTTGTTGCAGTGCCCAATACCATGGTTGAATTGAGATCTACTAGTGAAAGGACATATAAATTATTACTGCATGTTAAAAAGCGCCTTTATATTTAAAAGAGAAATGTGGCTACATTTTTGACTAAAGCATAAGCTTAATATTGAAAGTATATAGGATTCAGGAGAGTGTCATGTACATACTATTACCATGCAGTTATTGCTGTGTACCTGGTATGTTGCTGACATTTGAAGGAATGCTCATCTCTCCAAAATGATAAATGGATGTAAGCAGCATTGAAATTATTAGTAATCTCTCAAAAGGTAAAGATAGTGATATGGAATCCTGACTGTGAATGGCTAGTTTTGATCTTTATAGAATTTTTCTTTTTTTTGCCCTTGGACTTCAGGTTACCACTTCGTCCCCTCTTCATCCCCAGTCATTCCTCCTAACTGGATTTTCACTTCATGAATTTGCCTCACTTAGCTGTTCACAATGTGTATCCTCTCCTTTTTTGTTTCTGTTTCCTGTCTTTCCTGCCACCCACTGAAAAAAATTGCTACTGTAGACCATACTTTTTAATTGGAAATTAAATATTTGTGTGGTTAAAAAAAAAAAAAAAGAGATAAACAGAATATTCTAATTTTAGTTTCTTTTAGTTACAGCATGTGCTAGATACCATTCTGGAAAATGGCATTTATCAGAAAAAACTACTACATCAATTATGAGCTGCTAGTTTGCTAGTTCAAATGAAAGAAGTTTTATTTATCTGGAAATAGTTTGCTAAATATAAGCAAATGTTTATCTCTGGACTGCTGGTGTTGTATATTTAATAATAGAAAGCATGAAACAACTACGGTTTGTGGTGGCAAGGATGGAAATCTGACATCAGAATGCCTTACTGCACAAGTGTTTGTTTTAGTTACTCTAACCAGCTGGCATAATTGCCCTTTCTGGGAGCTATAGATCCAAATGTCATTCTAAATTTAGCTCATGTCAGAGGAATAAAGGTCTTGAACTATAAAAATATTTTGCTTTGAATAAATTCAGGTTGATGCTTTTGTCCAGACATTTCACATTGAATGAAGATTACTTTTCTTGAAACTCTAAAGCCTGCTGCCAAAGTAGGTATTTGGCAGATCAAAACAACTGAAATATTCAACTAGAAACTAATTAAACTAATTATAACAAAGCTTCAGTTTGTTATGCCACAGGAGCAGTGCCCTCTTGAAGTAGAAAAATAACTTTCAGAATGACTGGTCATACAAGACTAAACAGCCATGGTTTATGAAGTGGCACAGTCACTACTGTCTTTCAGCTCTTACTAGGTCTGCATTCCCTACTCTGGGAATAGGCCTTCAGACTGTAGGTTCTAGTAACTGTTGGGAAATTGCTGCCTGTTACTGTTCCTGATACTAAAGCAATTGCATGCTCAGAAGAATGCTTAAAATACTAGATAGAAATGGATAATGGTAATAATAATAAAAAATTTCTAAATGTTGGAAATTCAGGTAATCTATAACTTTGTGTAGCTTTATTCTGTAATATAAAGATGAGCTTTTGTTTCTCTTTTGGTGTTTCCCTGGATTTCAAATAGAAAGAAATTGTGACAGGAGCTCCCTCCACCATCTTGACACAGTAGAACAACTGAGGACAAAGCCCCTGAAGTCTTGTCCATGTAACATGTTGCTTCCTTTTCTTTTGCCACATTCCATGTTTGATATATTTAGAAATTAATGGAGAGCATTGTCTGAAATTTTAATAGAGAAAAAGGTAATTTTAGGCAAAACAGAACATGAAATTGAATATGCACAGCTGGAACCTGAGTAGCTCTCTTACCACCATTACATTTACTTACCTCAAACATAAACTGGGACAAGGGTAAGTTAGAAACTATTCCACCCAACAGAGATAATATAAATGGGTCACCTTTTGAAATGCTGAAAAGAACATTAATTTTCCTATGGTAAGAAACATAAATCCTGTAAGTATATTGCTTAGATTAAAAAAAAATTGTTTTCAAATCATGAAGTTTGTGTAATAAAGAAATAGTACTCTAAATTACTATTCAGGTTTCAAATTCCCATTCAAGTTACCAATGTTTTTCTCTTTTATAGTGGAGTGAATGTTGTTCCATTCCTAGAGTTGATTGGCTTACCAGACAGCGTAGTAGACATCCTGAAAAATTCCCAGAGTGGAAATGCACTAACTGCATATGCATTGTATAAAGTAAGTATAGTTATAGTTTGTAAATAAGCTCTAAGTCTTGCCTGGTGAAATAAACAGGGTTTACTTGTTTACAGCAGAAGGAATTAATTTGTTTTCTTCGATAGTTACATATACTTAAGCATTCATTTTGTGGTAAAAATAGTCCCATGCAAGTTGATCTGTGTTCTGTGTTCCTTCAAGGAGTCTGTATTTCTAAAATAACTTCTTTGCTGCAGAAGTATTGCAGCCCTCTGCAATGACAATTAAGCTATTCTGTATCCCTGACATAATAAGCAGGGACAAAGAGGTAAAGTCTAAACACCTCATCTAAATTTCAGATAAAAGGACAGTTATTTTTATCCTAGATGATTTTTTGTCTTCCCCTTAGATGTCCATCACTCTCAAGTATTTTCATTGTTCATTTGAATCAATTACTTACATTCAGGTTTGGGTTTCCTTTTATTGCTTTATATGTGCAAAGTCTGTGTTTGGGAAACTGAAACATGTCAGACCATCCAAAAACAAGGTACAGTATTTGCTGTACATGCCACTCAATTTGTTTTGTTTCTAAAAGTGATGTCCTTCTTGCCTGTTTTCAAAGGGATTACTTTCCCAAACAAAATGTGAAAGTACAACTCTTTCCAATTTTTCCTGTGCCTAAAAGAGACCAGTAAGGATGGTTATTAAATATAAAGATGTTGTTATAGCTGGGAGATCTGGCAGTGTTGGAAGAAACTCAGTGTTTACATGCAGTCTGTTCTGAATTGCATCAAGATGCCGAATGCTTGTCCTACAAACTTCACAGGGAGGGTTTTTGTGTTGATGAGTTTTTTTTAAGGAAAGTCTAATGCCCTTGCTGGCTCTGACAAAATGATACTTTAAGTAAAAGGTATGCATTTCTAGGGGATGCACTGTAAACTGGTTTATTTCCTTATAAATTGAAGATATCTTTAGAATCTGACACTGGTCAAAATAAATTTTCAACATGAAAAAATACCTCTTGCTGGATGTTATTTTCCTGTTTTATCTCTGTGGTGTGTTCTCTGGTTTCTTTAAGATTGCAACTCCTGCCAGATATACTGTGACTTTGGGAGGAACATCTGTCACTGTTAAATACCTACGTAAGCACGGCTATATGTCCACACCACCACCAGTAAAGGAATACCTACAAGACAGGATGGAGGAAACAAAGGATAAAATTACAGAGAAGATGGAGGAAACAAAGGATAAAATTACAGAGAAGATGGAGGAAACAAAGGATAAAATTACAGGGAAGATGGAGGAAACAAAGGATAAAATTACAGGGAAGATACAAGAAACCAAAGATAAAGTTTCATTTAAAAAAATAAAGGAGTAGGAGAGATGCTTAGTTTTTGGATATATCAAACTTAGCACTTTAACCATTTGTGAGGCAGGATATGCAAAGTGCACTTCTGAGCTTTTTTTCTTTTTTTCTTTTGTATTTTTACCCTTTGGAGACTACAATAGCTACGTGGATTTAAAGGTTGAAGCTCCTTGGGGAAGAGGTTGTGACCTAAAAGTTTCAATTTTCAGAAGGAAAAGTGAATCTCAGATTAGAAGTTAACATGTCCCTTGGTAATAATGTTAAGAAATACTCTTCCCTCTTTTTTCCCCACACCCTCCTCCTCAAAACGAAGGCGATTTCTGCCAAGACCCACTACTCTGTTCTTTTCCTATCATAGTGCACAGCCATGGTTCCACTAGACTGAGTCTTCCATTAAATAAGAATGAAGATTTCTCTGTTGGGAAGAGCAGCATGTTTAGGTTTTTAGAGTATGTGGACCCAAGCCTCTTCGATGGTGATCATCTCTCAAGATGGAGTGCACCATTGTCACCGATACTGCACATGAAGGAACTGATGGATCAGCTACTCAGCAGGAATGAATTATAATGGCTTCCTTGGCTTCAGCCAGGCTGCTGTGGTTTACAGGTTGAGACTATGAATCTTTCTTGAACAGTGCATCTCTTCATAACTGAAAGCTATAGGAAGATGAGTTAATCACAGTTGCCATACTGTCAAGTATACTTTGTTTCCTGAAGTTGATTTACAGTACAAAGTGATTAAAATCAATAATTGTATATTAAACACTAGGATTTGTTCATTGTGTTCAAGTTTACAAATCTGCTCTATTTCATTTTTGAAACAAAAAAAAATTGAAAGAAGTTTATTTGAGAAATTGCTATACTAAGGGTTTTTTTAAACACATGGAAAGTTAGAGTTAAACTCCAAAGTTCCTCCTCCTCCCTCAGTAAAACAATTTGACTAAAATAAGCATGATTTCTGAGACAGTGATCACAGTCTACCAAACTTTTTTCCCCTAGATTAAGTCAGGCAAACACTTATTCATACCTGAAGGCTGAAATGTTGTCTCAGATGTCATAAAGGACTAAAGTTGAAACTGTTCTATTTGGCTGGGCAGGCAAACTTCTCTCAGTTTTATTCAAATGTAGGCTGAATTGAAGTGTGTTTTTCCTATTTATACTACAGATCTCACTTTGTAGCAACTCACCATGTATAAGTTGTTTTACAGAGGTGGTTTTTTTCAGGGGGATATGGGGGAGCAACAGAGTTAGACCCTGAGAATTGCATTTTGCTGGAGTGAAAAAGTACAGCTGATGAAGTATCAGCTCTGCCCCACTGTCCCGTTCTCATTCAAGTCACTGAGGGCTTCTTCATGTTTAAGTGAGTTGAACTTCATTAACTTAATTGTGCAGGATTGATTGCATACTTCTCTGCCTCTGCCCACAGGTAAAATAGTAACTGTGATCTAATGCCTACCTCACAGGGATGTTGTGAGGAATAATCATTGTATATTCAGTGACCTGAAGATGTAAAGTGCCATGTTTCTGATAAAAATTATTAAAAAAAAGTATTTCTGTGAATTCTTATACTGCTAAGTACTACTGTAAGGACTAGAGTTAATAGATGCTATTTTGCTTTTCTATTTTAGTGTGCTTTTCCTTACTGTACCCCTGCACACATTCTTCTGATGCTGGTATTTGTTTGGATTTCCCACTTTTGGGGGCAGTGTTACCCATGCCCTGCAGGACCCTGTAAAGCCCTAAGTGTGCCCCAGGAACAGTGCGTAGTCACTCTCAGTCTGGGGCCACATATGGGACCCTTTCAGTGCAACTCACAGGATCCATCTCTTTACACATGGCAAAGATTGCACAGGGGCACCTTGGTGTCCCTAGGATGAGTTTTAGCCCTTAGACATGTAAGAACTTGTTCATTGCCCCACCTCTTGCCCTTCTCCTTGCCCAGCTGGCCTGTGACCACTCCAGTGTTTATATGATCCATCTCTACTAATGCTAAGTACAAAAGCTGATTGACTTGGAGCCTACTGTCCTGTGTGATCATTTCTGCAGCTGCAGGAACAGCTCACAGTGACTCTTGCCAAGTGCCTCCTCTGTATAGTTGGTCAATTTTGCAGCATGGAGTTTCTGGGACAACCACTTCCTCCACCCAGTGTGTCAATTGACAAAGCACAGAGTTACCAGGATCCATTCATACAAAGCGAGAGGGGAAATCTTCAAGACTTTGGAAGTCTGACTTGGAGAGCTTTTGTGACAATTAGTCACAGGCTTGGTTGTACTGGTGACCTTGTCTCAAATTTGCCTTATATGGAACCTCTGCCTCATTAGTGCAGGGAGCACCTGGGGAGTTTCCTGGGCCACACAGGGAATGAAAAGGCCACTTGGTGCCCAGCAGGTACCCAACTATGCTGCAATTTTAACTAGGCTAAAGTTGACTTTCATCCTGTATCTCACTTATAAATTATCTTGCCATGATACTAAGGTGCAGTTCTTGTTAGTGACAGTCAGCCTTAGCGGGGGTCTGCATGGCTGGCAGCCAGGGGCCACCACCCTTTGGAGTGGCAGTGTGCCTGCACTCTGCTGGCAGGCTGGGGCAAGCAGGGGGCACCTGGGGACAGCACAGGGTCTCCTGGTACCCAGGCCAGCACAGTTGGCACACTCATGTGGCAGCAGTGTTCCTGAAGGTGGAGCAGCATCAGTTGGTGCCTTCAGCAGCAGAGAAGGAACAGGGGAGCAGGTGCCTTGGCCTGGGAAAGCAGTTTGGCCGCAGCACCGAGAGGCCCTGAGGCAGCCCACAAGTGACCCAAGCAAGGGAGTGTCCAGCAAGTGCCAGGAGTCCTTGGTGAGGTGAAAAGCCCAGAAGCCCAGCAGCACCTTCCATTGCCCGTAGGACCTTTCAATCAGTGCTAACAGGGCTTGCCTTTTTACCTCTCACAGTTCAGCATCCTCGTGGGAAAGGGCAGTCCCTTCAGGCTCTAGAGGGTGGGTGAGGGTGTGGGTCCCTCCACCTGCGCAAAGCTTCAGAAAACTGATGAGACCAAGACTAAGGCATGTCCAGCAGCGAAATGGCTGCTTTGGCAACCTCTCCCACTGCTGCCTGCTCCCTGCCTCACATGTAACACTGCTGCACAGCACCACCAAGTCACAACCTGCGACGCAGCTGGACCTGAAACTGGGACAATGCTCAGGCTGGGCCTGCAATTGGGCATCCCAAGATGAGTCCAGAGTACATGCTGTGATCAAAGCAGGGAATCTGTGTCAAAACTGGGACTCCAGGATGGAACTGGAGTAGATGTTAAGCTCCAAGCAAGGGGCAGATTTGAAATTGCATCCCAAGATAAGACTGGAGCTGAAGTTGCAAACCAATGCAGAGCCAGAGCCAACATCACAACTCACTACTTGGCTCGGGCCTAAGTTGCTGCTCGAGATGGGGAAGAGACAAAAATCAAAGCCCAAGCACTGTCCAGAGCGAAAATTGCAGCTAAAGGTGGGCGCAGAGTCAAGACAATATCCCTGCTGGGACTGGACAGTCCCAGGACAAAACAGCAGTCACCACCTGAGGTGACAGAGCCAAAAAATTCATAACCCAGGACGGGCTGGAACCAAAGCCATGGCCAGAGATAGGGGCCACAGCTATTTCTGCCCAAATTGTTGTGGCACCCACTGTCTGAGCAAGGACCAGAGCCAAATTTGAGTTGAGGCAAGTAGTGGTCCAAGATAGGGCAGGAACTGAAGCTGATGAAGTTTTAGCTCTCATCCAGATTCTGTACTCCATTATTATATAACACAAAACTTCATAGAGTGTTAGCAAGTTGTCTTCACAGCTTAGTTAGACAGAACAATCCTTTTCCAGCCACTGAGCCAAGGTCACCATTGCAGCTTCAGGCCCCAAAATGTATAAACAAAAGCAAATTGGGGTGGGGGGTGGAGGATGGGGGAACAAACTGAGAGGATGGGACTTCATAACTTGAAGCTCTAACTGGACAATTAACCCCAATATGCAAATGGACAAAGCTCATAAAAGTGTGAAAATTCATGGGGAAAAAAAAAAAAAAACAACGTATAAAAGTGTGAAAACCCATTGTCCAAATTGGGTGTAGCCTCGGCCAGACTCTTGTACTGCCCAAGGTGTAACCTTTGAAGGCCTTTTTAATCAATACCTACTTCATTTCTCTTACTCTGTCTAGCTTAGGTTCTAGATGGGCTAGAGCTGAAATCATGCCCAGAAGTGCCACTGAGATGAAGCCACAGACCAACATGGGGCTACAGCCACAGCCAGAACCTGCTATCCAGCCCCAGCCACAGTCACAGACAAACAGGTACTGAAGCTGCAATAGCAACCTGGTAAAAATAGACTGTGGCCAGAGCCAAAGTCACAGCTCAATATGGGACTGGAGCAGAAGCCATGATCCTCACCAGGGCTGGAGCAGGGACCACAGTTGAAGCCCTGATCCAAAAACTGAGCCAAACTCAGGTCCTCACAGTGGACATGGCTCAAAAATAGCCACCAGTCATTGAACAGGGAACAGGGCTGAAATCACTGCCCAAGAAGTAAAAGTTGCAGCCTGAAATGGGATAAAGCAGAAGTCATGAACGACGCAGGGACCAAAGGCAAGGTTGCAACCAAGTATCAAAGCAGAGACAAAGATGTTCAGGTGGCCGGAGTCTAGGTCACAGCTTGACACGGGACTTGAAGCTGAAGTAGCAGCCCAAATAAGAGCTGTAATAGCCTCCCAATCAGGGCCAGAGCCAAAGCTGTGATCTACCATCAAGCTGTTGGCAAAGCATCTGGCCAATATCTGGCCAGAGATTAAGTCACAGCCCAATAACAATCCAGAACCAAAACTGCCATCAGAGACAAAGCAGGAGCCCAAGATGGCAATGAAGCCAAATTTGTGGCCTGAGCAATAGCTTAAGCAAAAGTTGCAGATGAAGATGTGGCTGGAGACAAAATCACAAGCCAAGATGGGCCAAAGCCAAAGCCATGGCCCAAACAGTGGCCAAGTCACAGCAGCCTCCTGAGGAGGCTTTAGACCCAAAGCCTGGGTAGACCCAAAGCAGCCACCTGGACAATGGCCGGAGCCAAAGTTACAGCCAAAGATGGGGCTGATGCCCATCTTGACCCAGCGTTGAGCCAGAGCTGCAGTAGCAGCCTAAAGTGAGCCAAAGTGAGGCAGAGCTCAAATTGCTGCCATAGATGGGAGGAGATAAACTCTCACTCCAATATCTCTGCAAAGCTGAGGTTAACAGCTCAGTCTGGCGCCAGTCACAGCCCAAGCAGGGATCAGAGCCAAAGTTGCTGCCCCATGTCAGGCCAGAACCAAAGTCATAAACCGAGAAGGACAGAGCAGAGTCCAAGACCAAGCGGGGCAGAGCAGACATGGGAGCCTGAGCTGGAGCTGGAGTCAGAGCCCTGTGTCAGGCTGGGGACAAGCTCGTGAGCCAAGATGGGACAAGAATCAAAGTTGTGACTCAGGATGGGTCCTGGAGCTGCAACGGTTGCCAAAGATGGGGCTGGAGACATGATGGAGGCCCAAGGTGGCTCCTGATCTCCACTCACAGCCTGAACAGAGGTCAGATCTGCAGTCACAGCCTGGTGGGACCAGAGCCAAAATCACAGCCCAGCCAAGGGCCAGAGCTGAAGCCTGATACCAAGTTGGAGATGATGGGACAGGGCCAAGGAGCCAGGGCTGGAGCTCAGCTCAAAGAGTGATACACAGTCAGAGCCAAACCTATGACCAAAACTGGGCTGGCACTCAAGTATTGGCCTGAAAGAGGCAGGAGAAAAAGTTGCCAAGGATGAGAAAAAGACCAAGATGGAGCTGAGTGCAAATGGCAACTCAATAAAGGCCAAAGCTGAATTCATATCCTGAGCAGGACCCAGAGTCAAAATCATGGCCCAGGATGGGCCCAGAACCAAAGTCAGAGCCTGACAGGGGAACCGCTGAAGTCTCAGCCCAAAAGGAGCTGAAATCTTGGCCTAAACAATGGCCAGAGTTGAAGCAATAGTGAAAATGGGGCCAGTCAAAATAATGGCCTAAACAAAGACCAGAGCCAGTCACAGCTGAAATTAGTGCCTAAGCTAAAGGTGCAGCTGAGCCTTTTGAGCAGAGCTGGAGCCAAAGCTGTGACCCGGTAACAGGCCAGAGCAAAAACAGTGACTCAAGGTGGTGCTGGAGCCAAAGTTGAAACAAATTCTTCTGATGTGTCCCCTTCAGGGTGTCAGCTTAGGGCATTGCATCATTTTATCCTTGTTCATCATTTACCATCAGCAACAATAATAATTAGAGAATTTTAATTATCCCCTGGCAATTAGCTGACTATTTCTATGATCTTAAGTAGAAAGATTTGATTTCAAAAGCCCACAGGGTAACATGTAGTCTTAACTTTGGGCTTGAGTTTAATGAATTGATTGGACAATCAGAGAGGAGGGGACACAGGGGAGGATATTCAGGCTTGTTTAGGAATAATGCCCAAACATTCTACCATTCTCAAGTCAGCTCCATTGCCAGTCAAGTATCGAATAGTCTGTGTCCTCCTCTCATACTCATGATGAATCAAGAATCTTATGTACTATTGCAATCAGAATAAAGTCATAAAACTGATGTAATTTCCACTTGAAATGCTA